TTGCCCCCCCCCCCCCCCCGATTGTACGTGGGGTGAGGGTGGAGGCATACTATTCGCTGCAGGCTCAGGGCTCTCTGCTCTACTGCCTTTGTCTCGGGCGCTGCGCACTGTCTGCACATCCCCTGCCTTCCCAGCAATGGTGGGGGTGGTGAGTTGTGCCTCCTGCTGCCAGGAGGGCAGGAGACACACGGCCAGCATGTGGCTCCGAGGGCAAAGGCAGCAGAGCAGAGAGCCCTGAGCCTGTAGCGAGCAGCCCACCTTTACCCCACTCGGCTCAGCTCCTGTTAAAAGTGTCTCCACACTTTAAAGTGGTGGTGGCAGCGCTTCAACTAAAGCTCATTTGAAGAGCTTTAGTTCAAGCGCCCCCACTGCCATTTTTAAGCGCTGGGATGCTGATCCCCTGGATGAGCCACCCACAGCTTCTTACCTCTCCATGTCCCGGCCCTGGGATCCCATTCACCACCCTGGCTGGGCAGCGCCCCCAGTCCCTGCTGTATCTCACTGTCTCTCTCACCATGGGGGCTTCAACCTGGTCCTCGCGCACTTCCCTTCCTCTCCACGGACTTATCTGCAGGGAGTTGCTCTCCATGGTGCCTGGCTGTGCTCCTGTAAAGCGGTTATTGGATTGGTATTGTTCAATAGCTGATTATTCATCAGGCATATTGGTATTGGCTAAGAAAATCTTTATCGGTTCTCCCCTAATCTGTACACTGAATATGGTACAGTGACTCTCCCAGGAGAAACTCAGTGTCTGTTTTTGGCTGCATAAATATATTCTCTGCCACTTGAACAGCATCATTTTAAATTTAAGCTGTTGGTTTTGTCTCAACATCCTTATCATACGTGAATTTTACACAGTGTCATTCTAGTTCATCGAAAGACCTGTATGTACATCCACTTTTATAGGAACAGCTTGTTTTGGTTAATAGCTACTACAGAATCAGCAGAGGGAGGGGAATAATGTACTGCTGAATACATGAACCAGTGAAGAGAAAGGGACATATTTTGAAATTAGCAAAGGCTGCAACTTTACTTGAATGTAGACAAGGTGAAACCTGAGGTCAATAAGATTGAAATGGAAGAAGGTAATTGAAGCCCTTTTACAAGCTCTGGCTTCTCTCCATGAAGGTCATATATTCACTGTTCTTTCAGTTGAGTATGGAATTGGGGTGACAGGAATTTCACTCGTAGTCGGGGAAATAGAGCTGATATTTTAATTTAAATGTAATGGCTGCTGTTAACTTTAATTTTACTTTCTTTTACTTTAGGCTGTTTTGATGGTTTAGAACGTCAGAAAATTCTTAATTTGATTTTAAATCAGCAATTTGTGCATCTACTCCTAGACTATTGTTTGTACAGTGAAAAAGCTTCAACACTCTTGGTTTTGCCAGTAGACAATAAAGGAAAGCAAATATATCAAGCTTAAGTTAAAACTCTCTGAAGACCTCACATAATTTAACATCCATGAGAAATTGAAGAGAGAGATGTTCTTTTAGATTATTTTTAAGCATAAATTGTGCTTTTCTTTCTTTTATTGCTAATTGTCAACAAGGTGTACTAGTCTTTGGACAGAAAGATCAAGCTGAGGGATTAAAATAAGAGATCTATTTAAATTTCTTTAAGTGATTCTTATCTTTTATCCAGTAGCAAGAAAAAGAATGTAAAATAAAATTAAACTCTTTAAAAGGGGCTGTTTTATTGAAGCACAATAGAAAAGTTTTACCAATCCACAGTGGAGGAGGAGAGAGTTTGTGTTATTTAGTGAGATTTGAGACTTGTGAGTCTGTGACTGATGCAATATTCCTGAAGGCCAGGTGGGCTCATTGTGCTTGATATTATACCCTAAGGCTTAGGGATACTTTTCCTGTTTCCTTTTTGGTCTTTCTCCTCACTGGAAAGGAATGGGGGAAGGGTGAACACCAAAAGAATCTTATTGTTCTCAGCTAGATTCAGCTGTAAACTTGGACATCTCAAAGTGTATGGCTTGCTGGTTTACTTTGCGATTAATGATATCCATATATTCTTTTAAAAAACTATGATATGTACTGCATTAATGCAGCATATTTAAATATGAATTAAAGTTGTCACCTATTTGACTATGAATAGAATCACAGATGCTGGGGTCAGAAAGGATCGAGTCCGACCCCCTTGCCAGTGGCAGGAAAAAAGAGCTGGGGTCATGTGACCCCAGCCAGGTATTTGTCCAGTCTTCTCTTGCAGACCCCCATGGTAGGGGACAGCACCACTTCCCTTGGAAGCCCGTTCCAGATTCTGGCAACCCTAGCGGTGAAGAAGTTCTTTCTGATGTCCAACCTAAACCTATTCTCCATCAGCTTGTGGCTGTTGTTTCTGATTATTCCAAGGGATGGTCTGGTAAATAGAGCATCTCCTATTCCCTGCTGCTCCCCCCTGGTGAATTTGTATACAGCCACAAGATCCCCCCTCAGCCTTTTCTTGCGGAGGCTGAAAAGGACCAGGTCCCACAGCCTTTGCTTACAAAGCCTTCTCTGCAGGCCTCTACCCATGCAAGTGGCCCTTCTCTGGACCCTCTCAAAGCTATCCCTTTTGAAGTGTGGCACCCAGAATTGGATGCAGTACTCCAGCTGCGGCCTTACCAGTGCTGCATAGAGGGGGAGCATCACCTCCCTGGACCTGCTTGTGATAACACCTACTAATGCATGACATAGTGCGATTAGCTCTGCTAATTGCTTCATCACATTGACAACTCATATTTATCTTGGCGTTGACAATGACTTCA